TAAATGCAAAACCTTTTAATTTCTTGCTATTGAACAGCACAATTTAAGATACTGTCCAATGTTCAAGATTATCAAGAATGTCCACTAAGCACTGAATTTATTTTCTTAGGTATTAGCCACCCCCATTTCCAATACTGTATTATCTGTAAAAGTCTCAGTTCAGTTATTTACCAAAATGTTGAAGACACTGGGTCTGGAACAGAATCCTGGGACCCCTCTGCATAACTCTCCATACATAGACCCATTAAGGACCACATATTGTGTACAGTTGTTTAACTGTGAATCCATCTTACAGTGGAAACATCCATCCTGTTAATCAATTTTATCAAGGAAGAGACTATAGCCAATTTTATCAAATGCTTTACACCTCTTAACTAGAAAGGAAAGCCCAGAGTCGACATGCCACCAAAGTATGGCAGCAAAAGTAGTACAACCTGCAGCTGTAAAAAGCTTTCTATCCTGCCAGTGTATTTCTTGAACATTCCCTTCCCTTTATTCCAGATTTATAGTTTGCATTTTTTTTTAAAAAAAAGCAATGTTGGCAAAATGATTGAAAGCCTCCGATGTAATTATTTCCTATTGCTGTCTTTTACGTATTCTACAGGATTTTGTTCATGCATGCAGATTAATCATGATTTAAAAATAAACAATCCCTGACTAAAATAAGAGCGCTCCAAGGTTACATTTTGATCTGTGAATCATAAGACAAGTGGCGTGCAAAGACTGCTGATGCATTCTGCCCATCAGTGAAGGAAACTGGGACAGTGACCTATGAAAGCATGCTTCAGGTGAATATAGGCTGTGCCCACACATAACACAACTAAAATTATTCCATTTTATTTTCTACTATGTTGAATGAACTTAGATTTCATGGTTAGTTTGTGGCTCAGTGCATCATGTAATTCAGCAAAGTTGGGACTGAGCAAATCAAGATTAATTATGGGTATGAGTGCTATGAAAACAGCCATAGTTTGCAGCTTTCATTGGTTATGTGCCCAAAATTTCAAATATAAATGTGCAACTGTAAATTGGGAGAAGCAGAATCCTGGGTTGAGTTAGGAGCAGTGATACCTGCTGATACAAAAGAAGGATATGGATATGTTTTATATGCAGGAAATCAGCACATTATTTACAGTTGTTCCTGATGCTTTCATGTATTTGGCAAGGAGATGGAATAGTTTAAAGAGGAATAGCTTAAACAGGCAACTAGCAGCTGTGAGTCTAGGAGGACCCCTAATGAATATTTTTTCAGTTCATCTAGACTCAAAGCCAGGGAACTGCTGGTTTCAAATGGTATCCAACCTGCAGCCATTCCACATTATGGGTTTGGGCCTGAATGCAGCTGATTATAACTTCCAGACGCTGGGAGCTCGAGGAATCTCAAAATAATGGAGCATGAAGAGCAAACCACAGGACCTGGGACGAGTGTTTCCAAAATGCATTATCCAGCGGTGCTTATAGAGCATTTAAATCAGATGTGCTCCAAGAAAACAGTTCTTATGACAGATAAAGACAATATTTTACAATAAGCAGAATAGTTTTATTTTGTCCTATAAAACAAATATTTAAATCCAAAACAAGTTTCTTGTATTTAGCTAAATAAGATTAAAAAAATTATCTTCATTCATATACAAACTAAGGATTTAAACTTATATACAAAACAGTCAGATCTCTAAAAAAAAGAGAAGTTCAAATTACAGCGGTAACTTTTATTACAAAACATTAAAGCTACTGGCTTCACATTTAATTTCTCACAGAACTAAAACTAGACAGTGGATTTAAGACTGATAAAAAGAAAAAGGTGACAGTTTACTCAAAAGTCTTCAGTTGGTACATATGATCCATGAGAATGGAATGTATGTATACTTTGAAAATATAGCCTGGATGACAAATGAAGTGATATATTCTTGTAAAAGACTCCAAAATAGGAATCAGAATCTCCTGTTTCAGCTGAAGTTACTGCAGAGAATGGGCATTCTGAACATAACTCTCAATTCGTGTAGTTTTCAAAGTTGAGGAAAGAACTTGACTGCTATAATTGCTATACTCTTTCATTCCCTTGTTTTTTTCTACATTTTACGCACAAGACAAACTAAAATATAGTTCTGTCAGGCACAGATCTTTTTTTACGATGACTGAAGTGAAGAATATTCACTCATTACTGTAAAGGGAAATATGTCCAACCAAAGGACCATCTTTTCCATTTACATAGGATTTTAAATGCATGAGTCACATTCTGCAGAAACTTCATTACTAAAAACAAAATGTCTTCAATTCAGAAGCTATTTATTTTAATAGTTCCCATTTTATTTGGGTAGTGGAATTTTACAAGAATGAGAACTCTTTGGAGGGGAATTGTAAGAATAGAGTTAAAGGGATAGATGCAAAGAGAATTTAATCAGGAAACATGGTACAGAATTCAATGGCACAGAGAGCATCCAGTTATATTAATTTGAATAGCAAATTGCAATGTTTTTAGTCTTCGTGGCAAATTTCTGTAAGCCAGATTGTATTGGCTTACAAGCTCATATATGGTACCTGTCCAACATTGCTTTATATAGAACATAAATACTTCCGTTTATTATTTAACACTTCCTTTTTTCAGCCCTGAACTTATACAAAAGGTTTGCTAATGGAAATTATCTTGGCTTTTCCTAAGTTCCAGGATGAATCAATGGTAGTAATGGAGTAAATGTTTAGTTTTGACTGAGCCAATAGCAGTATTTCCTTAATATCAATACTGAAAAGAACATGGCTTACTTAGCATTATCATTCTTCTCTGAGAAATAAGAAGGGCATGGCCCAACTCAACAACTTCCCACCAGATAAAAGATAGACAAAGTTATAGAAATGAAAATTTAAAACATCTCCTGAATTTCTGTACCAAACAGATTCTTCTTCCCAGCTCTGTGGGAACACAAAACACAGTACATACTGTATATGCAATCTGCAATTAGGTGTGTTAAGTATCAAACAAATGTTTCCAGATCTTGAGCAGTAAGGACATAATCATATATTTCCATTTTGTTCCTGTGGGAAGTTATCAAACTGCAGTGTCAGAAATTATAGACATTCATCAGAACTGTAGGCACGGTCTTCCATACACAAGTATAATATTTCAACCATTCTCTATGTATCCTCTACAGGTCAAAAGAACCTCTGAGGATAAACGTACTAGGCACACAAGGCTGTTGCAAGAATAGAAGAATTTCAAGTCCTTTTTCACATTCTGAACTCCACTTAATTATATAGACCTCTCTTAGTAGTTTGGTTGTTACATTCCAATAGTTTCATATATGTTGTGGATGGAAAGAAGGAAGATTTCAGTGGACACATATGAAACCTGAAGCTGTCATAGACACATTCCATCATAAGTTTCCCTTAGTACAAATCCAACCTTGAGATTTTCACAAAGTACCGTGTTTCCCCGAAAATACAACCTACACCGAAAGCCCTAACTTGATTTTTACATGTGCACCCAATATAAGCCCCACCCCCAAAATAAGCCCTAGTTAAGACCCTGCTCACTCTGGGGTGCATGGGGTGGGGCGACACACATGGGTAAAAATTAAGCTAGGGTGGGGATGGAGGGGGGGTGGAGCTGCCATATTTACCAGGCCTCACATACCCCAACACCTGCCTTGCTGGCCCACTTCTGCGGCTGCTTGCTGCCGCTTATGTGTGTCGCCCCCGACAAGCGGTGACAAGTGGCCACAGAAGAAGTGGGTTGGCAGCAGGCTCCTGCTGGGCGGGGCTGTCAGTGCGGCTGCCACGAGGTGAGTCAGTGGAAGACACCCCCTGAAAATAAGACCTGGTGCCTTTTTTGGTGGCAAAAAAAATATAAGACCTTGTTTTATCTTATTTTCAGGGAAACACGATATCTATTCATGAATTGTTGTATCACAGATGTATTGTGGTGGATTTTTTTAAACTAAATGGTATTTTGAAATTAATTTGGGTCTCAAGATCTTTTCTTAGATCCTAACTGATACATGTATTTTTCCAAATAAAAGGAAACACGCCAATTTAAATTCAAAACTGCTACCACAAACCTTAAACAAATTCAACTTGAAGTAGCAAAGAATACAAAAGTCCACAATTCCTTAACTATTTTAAATAACATTATTATCAAAAGAAATACTCATTTTTCCAGAACTAAGGGAACTGACATTCCTCTGCTATCACAAAGTCAGAAAAAAATACTGAAAATAAAATATTTGTTATGTTTTTTTATCTGATAGACATCACTGAAAATATATTAGCATTCATTCAGAGTTATAATTCTAGTAAAAATAAAAAACAAAGACAAAAATATAACACTGAAGAGTAATACTTTAAAAAAGGGGGAAAAAGCATGAAGCTCTTAAAGACGTTTCTAGACTAGATAAAGTTCATATTCCTTTTCAAATGCTGGAGTAGGATAGGTAAACTTGCTAATGAATCACTTCTCTTTTTTAACTCATTTCCAAAGTTCATTATACCAATACAGCAAAATGAAAGTAAGGATTGTTTAACCTCAAGAGGTTGTTACATATCAAAGATGATGAATATTTTTTGGATCAATTTAGATAACAGATTAGTGTGAAAGGATTTCTCAACATTTTTAACAGTTCAATGAAAAAGCAAAAATTTGAATTTCTATACTTCATCCAAGAACATCACGTCAGAATTATTGTTCTAGTTACTTGGGTTTTTCATATAAATGTGTACTATACATTCTGATAGATTATATTAATATATATATATATATATTGTTTGGAACTGAACTGTAAAAACTGTAAAGTCTGAGTACCAATCTTATTCAAATCCATTTCCTACTTTTGTATTGATTTGTAATACAAAGTTTAGCTCCCAGCTAAGTCAGGATTTCTCAAAAGCAACATGCAATGTATCTAAAATCTACCATTCATACAAAGCATGATCTCTTCATGAGAACTCCATTCAATGGCATACCTGAGTTAGAAAAGGTGCTATAGCAAATAGAAATAGAAATCCACCTACACAGTAGTCATAGAACAGTTTATTGTAGAACAGTTTATTGTAAGGAATGATGGACATCTATTCTACTGCCAGGTTTTCCTCAGAAGTTCTGCTGGCGTCTTTTCTTTGCTTCAATGGCATCTAGAATTGGTTGCCGCTTTGATTGATACCTTTGGCGAACCTCTTCTATCTCCTGCTCCATCATGGGATCGAGTGTCCCAAGTCGTCTTTGAAGTTCTTCAACTGTCCAGTTCCTCAACTAAAGAAAAACATAAGGCAAAATAAATAAATAAAATAGAGTGAACTTGCAACAGGCAAAAAGAAGAACAGATAGAAGTGGAAAAATGGAACCAAACATGTATTGCACTAAATGGTTTGCTAAAGAATAACGTGGAGGGATTTACTTTTGGCTAATAAGTGTAATGAAATTTACTGTTAATGCTAGGACCTAATTACTGCTCCTACCTTGCCAAAAATGCACTTTTAATCATGACAGTCGTAATACCTAATTCCCAGGTAGTGGGAATATTTTCCCTTTATTATATAAGAAATGATGCACTACTTTGTTTTAATTCAGCAGAAAACAACTGCATATTATGTGCTATATTAAATACTTCTCCAAGAGAAGACATTATAGTACAATGAATATCCTAAATTGTTAACCAATATTATTTACAGGTAAGACTTACGTCTGTTCATTTAACCATCTTCTGAAGTCATGAGGGCCTTAGAAAAACTGATTTAGGAACTGCATTTGCATTTACAGGTACCCAGAGTCATGTGATCACAATCTGAGTGCTTGGCAATTGGCTTGCATTTACTACTGATTGCAGCATCCTACAATCATGTGATTACTATTTGTAACCTTTTTTTGCCAATCCCTGGGAAAGCATACCCATTGGAGAACCTGAATTCGCTTAGCAACTGAGTGATTTGTGAAATAACCATAGTAATTCACTTAACCACCATTGGAATAATTGTATAATCGGGTCTGAGTTGACTTACAACTGCAACAACCAATGGCAGAAAGATAATATTATCACCCATAACGATAACATGGGTTTAGCCAACAATCCTTTAAATGTATTAAACCAGCTAAAATTTTACACTATTCTTGTAATATTTGCTTCAGATCAGACTCTTCAACACGCAACCCTCAGGAACTGAAATAACAGAATGAAGTATAATGCAAAAAAGAAAATATTAATTCAGGGTTGAGTGGAGCTTTTTGATTAAAAGTCCCATTGTCTCAAATCACTAAAAAGCTGCTAGGTATCTGGTTAAAATACGTTTTCTTCCACCCTTAGTTTTTCAAATAAAAATACTGAATATTTCCAAGATTAAGCCAAAGGGTCCCCATTTTAATACATGCACACTTAAATAGAAGAATTGTTAGATAGAAACACCATGCACACACAAAATGCAGTATTCAAAAATAATCTTGACTGACTTTTCATGATTGAGCTAATTAATTTCTGGCTTTTTACCCCCCACCCCCACCCCCAATTTGCAGAGAGCCAGAAATTGCTTTACTGTTGATTTCCTGCAACAATAAGCCAGATTTTCAGGGAAACAAAATAACCATGGTAAGTTTCTTGTCTGTTTTCATATATTCATACAAAATCCAGATGGGCAGAAAACAAAAACAAACCAGGAGTAAGGATGGATCCTGGTTTCAGACATAAAGCTGAAAAAAATCAAAATAGTTTTTCAAAATTTCTGTTGCTAAGTGATTTGTTAAGTGAGTTTCGGCCCATTTTACCACCTTTCTCGCCACAGTTGGCAAATGAATAACTCCAGTTATTAAGTTCATAACATAGTTGTCAGCCAAACTGATGCAACTGTTGAGGGGTCCTCTATTACATCATGGCTCTTGTCTGTGGGAGAACTTTTTCAATCTACGGCCCCGTGGGGTTCCGCTGTGAGAGGGCGGGCCGGAGGTCGCCCCCATTGGAGGAGATAATTTAGGACCCTCCTGCTGTTGTGGGAGGACAGTTGAGACACCAACAGCACATCGATGAACAATTGGCTGTGTTACATCTTTTGTGAAGTCCCCTGTCTGAGCTTTGGGCCTCCATCGCTGCATTTTGGAGATGTATACGACTGCAGATCTTCTTGCGCTGCGAGATTCCCCCTTCTCGCAGATGTGGCCCTCCTCACTATCGAGGGCCCACCTCAAGGAAGGGTTTTGGGACCCAGAGAGGTGGCATGTGAAAACGAGGGGATTGAGGGGTTTTTTAACAAAATTTTTAGTCAAATTTTTAAGGGGTCCTAGGGAGGGGGAGGGTCAGATTGGAATTCGGGCTGTGGGTATGGGGGATAACCCACAAGGGGGAGGGTCGGGTCTGGCAGTGAAGCGTGGTGTGGGGGATGGAGGACCTGGGATCGAGGGGGGGGTTAGAGCTTGTCCGGATAGTTTTTTGAACATCAGTACTGTAGGTGGGAGGGGTAGATATGGCGGGAGCAGGGGGCCATATCGTGGTAGGGGAGTGCGCACTCGCTGTCTACGAGCGGTGGCGTGCTCCGGCCCCCAAGGCTCTACTCGCTCCTCAGGTTGCATAGACCCTCAGGACCCAGGCCTTCGGCTGATGCTGTGCAATGCCAGGTCCGTAGTAAATAAAGCCCCCCTCATCTGTGATCTTGTTCAGGAGGGGGGTGCGGACCTGGCAGGTATTACGGAGACCTGGTTGGGCCAGGAGGGGGGGTTCCCCTCGTTGAAATGTGCCCGCCAGGTTTCCAAGCATTCCATCAGCCGAGGTCACAGGGGAGGGGCGGGGGGGTAGCGGTTATCATTAAAGAAGGTCTGAGACCGAGGGAGGCCACTGTTCCTCAGACGGCCGGCTGTGAATCCCTTTTTGTGAAATGGGGTCATGGGATTCAGATGGGTTTGCTGATCACGTACCTGGCTCCCTGCCACGTGGCAACAGCCCTGCCCGAGCTACTCAACGTCATCGCCGCGGTGGCGGTTGATACCCCTAAGCTTATGGTTATGGGGGATTTGAACCTGCCGTCCGTGGGTGAGACGTCAGAGATGGCTCGGGAGTTCATGGCTTCCATGACAGCTATGGACCTGACCCAGTTAATTCATGGCCCTACCCACACAGGGGGAAACACGCTGGATCTGGTTTTTGTCTCTGGACAGTGGTTGAGGGATCTTGATATAGGGGATATAGTTACTCAACCCTTGTCATGGTCAGATCACTCTCTCCTTCGTCTCGACTTTCGAACCGCTGCACCCCGCCGCAGGGAGGCGGAGCCGGTCAGATGGTTCCGCCCCAGGCGCCTGATGGAACCTGACAGATTCCAGACGGAGCTTGGGCCATTTCCTGAGGTTCTGGCACACGCCTCGACTGGAGACCTGGTGGCCGCCTGGGATAGGGCGGCTGCTGGTGCTCTGGATCGGGTCGTGCCTTTGCGGCCTCTGACCCGGCGCCGATCTCAATTGGCTCCTTGGTTTACCGAGGAGCTGAGGGAGTTGAAGCGCCGGAAAAGACGCCTAGAGAGTAGTTGGAGGGCCAGTCTTCTTGAATCTGACCGGACACTAGTAAGATCCCACATTAGGAATTACTTAGTGGCGATAAAAGCAGCAAAATGTAGTTATTTTGCTGCTCTTATTGCGTCATCAGATAATCGCCCGGCCGCCCTCTTTAGGGTGACCCGCTCCCTGCTCCACCAGGAAGCGCGGGAGGACCCCTTGGAGGGTAGAGCCGAGGATTTTGTTCAGTATCTGTATGACAAAATCACTCAGATTCGGGAAGATTTGGACTCCGACTGGGTAGTCTCAGGGGGAGAGACAGGGGCAGGTCTTGAGAATGTTATCTGGGATGAGTTTGATCCTGTGACCCCTGAGGACGTGGACAGGATTCTGGGTAGACTGAACGCGACCACTTGTTTATTGGACCCGTGTCCTTCCTGGTTAGTACTGGCTTCCCGGGAAGTGACACGAGGCTGGCTCCAGGGGATTATAAACGCTTCGCTGAGTGAGGGTGACTTTCCCGCCGCCTTGAAAGAGGCGGTGGTGAGGCCTCTCCTCAAGAAGCCTTCCCTGGACCCGGCAATGTTGGTAAATTATCGTCGGGTCTCCAATCTTCGCTTTGTTGCGAAGGTTGTTGAGAGTGTGGTCGCGCAACAGCTCCCCCAGCACCTGGATGAAACGACGTATCTGGATCCGTTCCAGTCGGGCTTCAGGCCCGGGTACAGCACGGAAACGGCATTGGTCGCGTTGGTTGATGATCTCTGGAGGGCTCGGGACAGGGGGTGCTCCTCTGTCCTGGTCCTGTTAGGTCTCTCAGCGGCTTTTGATACCATCGACCATGGTATCATGCTGCACCGGTTGGAAGAGTTGGGGGTGGGAGGCACTGTGTTGCGGTGGTTCTCCTCCTTTCTCTCTGACCGGTCGCAGTCTGTGTTGACAGGGGGACAGAGGTCGACCCCGAGGCCCCTCATATGTGGGGTGCCGCAAGGGTCGGTCCTCTCGCCTCTCCTGTTCAACATTTATGTGAAGCCGCTGGGCGAGATCATCCGTGGTTTCGGGGTGGAGTACCATCAGTACGCTGACGACACCCAGCTGTACATCTCCACCCCGGATCACCCCAACGATGCCCTTGAAGTGATGTCCCGGTGCCTGGAGGCCATACGGATCTGGATGGGGAGGAACAGGCTCAGGCTCAACCCATCCAAGACTGAGTGGCTGTGGTTTCCGACGTCCCGATATAGTCAGTTGACGCCATCACTGACTATTGGGGGCGAATCATTGGCCCCCACGGAGAGGGCTCGCAACTTGGGCGTCCTCCTGGACTCACGGCTGTCTTTAGAAGAGCACTTGACGGCCGTGACCGGGAGGATTTTTCATCAGGTTCGCCTGATTCGCCAGTTGCGTCCCTTTCTGGATCGGGACTCTTTACGCACGGTCACTCATGCCCTTGTCACCTCCCGCCTGGACTATTGCAACGCTCTCTACATGGGGCTCCCCTTGAGGAGCACCCGGAGGCTCCAACTGGCGCAGGTGCGGCCGCGCGGGTGGTAATGGGAGCGACATGGCGTTCCCATGTAACACCTCTCCTGCGCGAGCTGCACTGGCTCCCGGTGGTCTTCCGGGTGCGCTTCAAGGTTTTGGTTACCACCTTTAAAGCGCTCCATGGCTTAGGACCCGGGTACTTGCGGGACCGCCTACTACCACCAATAGCCTCCCACCGGCCGGTACGCTCCCATAGAGAGGGGCTCCTCCGGGTGCCGTCAGCCAAACAATGCCGACTGGCG